GGAGCCATTTAAAGGCACAACTGCAGTTAAAAAAAAAAAGAAAAAGACTAAAGACCTTGGAAATATCTGCAAAGGGAAATGATATTCAATATACTAACAAATATGCTAAATAGAAAAATAAGGGAAAGCAATTGAGTTACAACCATAACTGACTAATCTCCTTTAAGGCTAAAGAAAATCTATCCCTATCTATACAGAATAGCTAAGATCAAACCAACACTTAAAAGTTTGTCAAGATGCAATTTCTAACTGAACCTTGGTTTAAACAAAAAGAAGTGGTATTCAACCTTTTCAGCTGCAGCTGAAAATGGAATGACTTTTTACTGATAAGAGACACTGGCCTAATTATGTTAGTTCTCATTGAATTTGAAAGTTTAAGAGTAGTTATTCAAGGTAAACATGCTAAGATGTACTGACAAAGTGTCTACTATTAAGAAAAACTAAGAATGAAAATAAGAACTGCAATAGAATCTGGTTTATTCTATTTTTTTAAAGTTGCAACTAGCATATCTTAGTTATTACAGTGAAAGGGGTTATGGCAAAAATAGAAATATGTAAACCCTATACTCAGGCTACTTCACTTCTAAATCATAGAAATATGCCACAGAGTAACCTGCATATTTTCTTTACACAGTATTTGCAAAATAAAAAGGGTGTTATCATAAACACACAGTGGAAATATGAACTAAACTTATTACAATCTTGATATTAAATACATTTGAATAAAGTGTTGTAACAAATATTTTGTTTGCTCACATTATACAAAAGTAACTGGGAACTACATTTTCCTTCTCAAATTCTTTTTTTTTTCTTCTTTTTAATGGACCAGGACATCTAACCTTCTCAAATTCTTAAAAAGAACACCACCTCTAGGATGGATTAGTGATACTTCATAAAAACAATGAGCAGAGGATCAAAACAAGCATCCTCTTAAGTGCAGCATCTGGAAAAGAAAAACAGCAAGGAGGCTCATTTATGAAATCAAAGTCACACAAGTAGACTGGATATATTCTGGTACTTCTTTTGCAACATCATATGCCAGTTTACTAATCAAAACATACAAGCTTACCAATTGATAAAGGACTTTGGTAGAGGCCCAAAACACACAGAAAGAGGACAAGAGCAAAAAGCAGGCAAGCCCACTCACCTACCCCTTTTCTAATATAAAATAAGAATTTTAAGAAAAAGCTTTGAGCTCCCATAGGACTAATTATATACATACCTCAATTTCAACTTTTTATATTAAACTGCAACTACTTATTTTCATTTGTTTCCCTAATGTAAGCTACAAGTTTCATCTTTGTACCTTTAAAAGACACATATAGACCAACGGCTCCTGCCTATAAATCCCAGCACTTTGGGACTCCATGGAAGAGGATCTCTTAAGACTGTAAGTTCGAGACCAGCCTGGGCAACATAGCAAGCCCTCATCTCTCCAGAAAAATTTTAATAAATTTAAAAATTTTAACTAAAAAAATTTAAAAACCATATACATATATATGCTTCAATAGCCTTTCTGCTTTTGGATTCAATATAGACCACAAATCCATGGATTAAGAAACATCCTGGGCAGAGGTCTTCTAACCTTCGTGTGTGTGTGTGTGTGTGTGTGTGTGTGTGTGTGTTTTGAGACAGACCCTGGCTCTGTTGCCCAGGCTGGAGCACAGTGGGGCAATCTCTGCTCACTGCAACCCCCCACAATGCACCCCCAGATTCAAGTGATTCTCCTGCCTCAGCCTCCTAAGTAGCTACAGGCACACCACCATGCCTGGCTAATTTCTGTAATTTTAGTACAGACAGGTTTTCACCATATTAGCCAGGTAGATCTCAAACTCCTGACCTTGTGATCCACCCGCCTCAGCCTCCCAAAGTACTGGGATTACAGGCGTGAGCCACCACACCCAGCCACATCTGCTGCCTCTGCCTTTTAAAAAGTTAAATATCGGCCGGGCGTGGTGGCTCAAGCCTGTAATCCCAGCACTTTGGGAGGCCGAGGCGGGTGGATCATGAGGTCGAGAGATCGAGACCATCCTGGTCAACATGGTGAAACCCCGTCTCTACTAAAAATACAAAAAATTAGCTGGGCATGGTGGCACGTGCCTGTAATCCCAGCTACTCAGGAGGCTGAGGCAGGGGAATTGCCTGAGCCCAGGAGGCAGAGGTTGCGGTGAGCCGAGATCGTGCCATTGCACTCCAGCCTGGGTAACAAGAGCGAAACTCCGTCTCAAAAAAAAAAAAAAAAAAAAAAAAGTTAAATATCTATATGATTTTCTCTCTTTTTTTTTTTTTTGAAACGGAGTCTCCCTCTACCGCCCAGGCTGGAGTGCAGTGGTGCAATCTCTGCTCACTGCAACTCTGTCTCCTGAGCTCAAGCAATTCTTCTGCCTCAGCCTCCCGGGTAGCTGGAAATTCAGGCGCCCAACACCACACCTGGCTAATTTTTGTATTTTTATTAGAGATGGGGTTTCACCAAGTTGGCCAGGTTGTATTCGAACTCCTGACCTCAAATGATCCGCCACCTCGGCCTCTCAAAGTGTTGGGATTACAGGCATAAGACACCACACCTGGGCCACTACGCGGTTTTCTCTGAAACAATCCTGAAACGCTCCTAATCCGACTTTTGGTTGCAGAAGTAAATTTTTCAGAAGACCAGCATCAGAAGCTGCTGTTTCTTACCCAAACGTACATTCCCTGCCCCCTTTACATCATGACATTTGAGAAAGACCTATTCTAGTCCTAAGTGGTCTATAACAGTAATTCTGATTTTCTCCCAAATAAGTGTCACCACTTGTTTCATCTATAATGACGAAATTAAAAACCACTACACTATGAGAATTACAACCAGTAATGAAGTCTTTAAACAATTTTTGCAATGATCACAGAATAAGTCAAGATAGTATTCTACAAACCCATTACAAAACAGGAGACCTTCAGATGATTGATTCCTCTCTATAAATCCTGAGTAAACTCAGTAATGTTAAAAAAAAAAAAAAACAAAAAAAACTGAGAATAAGGTTAGAAGTAGCAAAAATCTGGTATTTTACTATTTCCTTTCTCAACTTGTCCGTAATCTTCACCCTCCCATACACATTCCTCCACTCTAACGTATTAAAATAAAAATGCTGATAAGTTGATCTTTCTCTCTCTGGCCCTCATTTAGTCAGCAAGAAGAGTTATACAATGTGCAAAACACAAAATAGACACGTTAAGGGGGTAAAGCGTTCCAAAAAGATCAAATGAATCAAAAAGTTCTGAATTAACAGACTTGGTAAAGACACCAGTTCTCACCCTCCCTCTCCCCACCCCCCACCCCACTTTAAAAGGCAGCAACTGGAATAAATCAAGATAAAAAAAGAATCACAAAAATAGTGCAGGACTGTGCAGAATGAAACTTCACAATTTTCAGCGTCAAACTGCAACATGATAAAGCAACGGTATTCCTCAAACTGTTTACGAATATTTTTTCTCCATCTAATAACCTATGTCAGCTTCACATAAAATACAAAGTTTCTGTACCAGCAAAATTACAACCGCTAATGAAACTTGAGCTTCTAAGGTATTATTACAAATCACACTTAACTGTCTTGGATTTCATTAGGTTAACCCAATCCATAGCAAGTTCATGTGAAAAAGCAGTATACCCACTGAAGCAATCTTAGGAACAACGCTATCGTGTGACACATGGGGAACTACGAAAGAACAACTTACTTTCCGTATACTGACTCAGGGAGAAATAAGCGGTTCTGATGGTTCAAAGTGACGCTCGTCTCCCAGACCTAGTAATGACGCGAAAGGGAACTTTAGTGACACACCCAGCGCCGACCGCCACGTTAAGGATACAGCTCTTCCGAGGTGGAGAGGGCTCTCGCCAGCTCTGACTGCTGCTGAATCCGGATCCTGCTGCTCCTCCCAGAGGAGGTCTGCACCCCGGCTTGCCTCCTCGCTCACCCACTCCTCGCCCCCGACTCCAGCGACTCCCACCCCGGTAAGGCCTGCCTCGAAAGCGGAAACGGTCCAAGGCGAGGTGGCTCCGCTCCCAGAAAGACGGCCGGGGGCTGCTTTCGGACAGTGAGCTCGAAGGCATCCGCACGGAGGGCGGATGGGACCGGAACGGTTCTTTGGGTCGGTAGCTGCTGGGTCCCCTGAGGTGGCCCCGCTCAGACGCGTGCCGCGAGCGTGAGAAATTCCTCAGCTGCTGCTGAGAAGAGGACGATGACGAGGAAGAGCCGCCGCCTCCGCCGGATCCACCGCCCCGGGCCGAGTGCGGAGGCCTTCGCCGCGGATACGGTAACAGCCCGCCGCCACTGCTGCTGCTGCTGCTCCGGCTCCGTATCTGGCTGTTGTTATCGTCGTCACTGATTTCCCCATCTTCAAGCTCCCCTTCTTCCTTCGGCGAGAGGCCACTGGAGGCCGGGGCCGGAGTATCTGCGGTCGCCATCCGGGGCAGCGCCTTCCACACAACCTTAGCCCTCCGTCCGGGGATCCGCCCGACAATTGCCTCGTTTCCCTTCTTTCCTAACGGACCGGGTTGGTGCGGTCTTACCCTACTCGGAGACTTAGCGGCCTCGGCTCCGCAACTTCCCCGCACCCCAGCTCGCTCTCTAACCGGACCGTCGCAACCCACTTCCTTCCCTAGCGCCCCCTTGCTCCTCAGCGATCGGGGTTCTTCCGCCTCGCGAGAAATGGGCTCAGGTAGCGGCTGTGCTCGAAACGTCACTTCCTGCGACACGCAGGAAACAAAGGCTCCCAAATCACGCGATAACAAGAACAACGAGGTATTCACTGGGGTTTGTAGTCTCTAGTCTTTCTTCGGCTTAACTTTTCCGGTGTACGGGTCACACCCGTCTCAGGAACTGGCCTGGTACAGCTGGGTGCATGCAGAAGTAAGCGGATCTGCTCTTAGTTGCAGCCTTGAGAGAGTTTTATTGTAAAACTCTTTATCGTTATTTATAGTAATCGGAGGGGAAAACACCTCTTCCTTTAATTGCTCTGAGGACCGCTGCCAAAGAAACTCAGTACACCTGCTCCCTCTTGGGGGCGGGGTTAAAACAGGTTGTGGCCGCCATGTTGGTGAAGTCAAACGAAGGCGACTAGAGCTCCAGGAGGGCCCGTTCTGTGGCCTTTAGTCCTCCATATTAATAAAGAGAAACGGAAGGCTGACCCTCCCTCGCCTCCGCCCCCACATACACACCCCTTCTTCCCACTCGGCTCTCACGACTAATCTCTCACGATTAAGGCCCGCCTGCCTCGATTGTCCAGCCTCTGCCAAAAGGAAGCTTAGCAGCCAGCGCCTCAGTAGAGACCTAAGGGCGCTGAATGAGTGGGGAAGGGAAATGCCGACCAATTGCGCCGCGGCGGGCTGTGCCACTACCTACAACAAGCACATTAACATCAGCTTCCACAGGTAACCCGGGCAGGGACGGGGGGTGACGGAGACGGGAGTTCCTATTCTCGGTATCGCTTGTGTGGAAGGAACAGGAGGATTCTAATTCTAATAACTTTCCCAGCTGGTAACAGGAAAGCATCATATGTCCTTTGTGTTTCTCAAATCTGTCCAATTTTACCCTGCTTTCGGGGAAGCTTTACTAATTTTCTAAAAGAAATCCAAGTACGTTTTGGTGATTACCCCTTAGTAAAAAAGTAACAAGAGGATATCGTAATTTTTCACTTTTATTCCTATGTTAGACCGGGTCTTGACAAGAATGACGCCGTAAGGGAGAGAGATCTTCCCATTCAATCAGCAATCGCCTTAAAAGCCTGCTGTGTTCCCGTTAAAATTAGGAAATTCTCACTAGATGAATTGACATGGGAGGCATTTATATTTCTAATCTAATTAATCGAATCGAATCTAAGTAATTCTGCGGAGGAATTGAGTCATCTTTGATAGCCATGGAATTAGCGATGTTAATTAAAGTGAAAAAGATAACCTTTTTGTTCTTACTAGAACAGAGTAATAAAAAGAACCTAGGTTTTCTTTTGTTTGCTGGAAGAAAAATCCAAATTTCTTAGTTCTGTCAAGCCAGAATTCTTAAAAGCATTTTGAATTATGCCTGGGAAATAACAGGTACTAGGTAAATGTTTACCTTCTCTGCAAGTGCCTGCCATGTGCCTGAAGAAGAGACACATTAAAAAGTTAGGTGACACTAGTTCTGACTTTATATATTTTATATACCTAACAACGTATATGTTGGTATGTAGAAATTATATCTTTGACCTTTTTCCCTACCTCACTATTACGAACTGTACTTTTATTAAAAGCTGCCACTTAAAAAAAAAAAATCCTTGTGATGTTTCTGTTTTTAAACCAATTCACGCATATGTAGTGCTTTATTCATTCATCCATCAAATATGTACGGAGTTCCTAATTGCCTGACATTGCGCAAAGGATCCAGAAAGTTCTAACCCTCCTGGAGTTTAACATTTAATGGTAGAGAAAGACATAAATAATTATAATTAAGTGCCACAAAAGAAACATTAAGAGACCTAACTTAGTCTTGGAAAGTCAAAGAGCACTTCTCAAAGGATATAACATTTCAAATGAGACAATGACAGATTTGGTCCTGTATGCTGCTTAAGTATTTTCTGTTTTATCCTAAGAGTACTTGAGAAGTCCTGGAGGGTTTAAGAATGGCATGATTAGATTTGCATATTAAAAAGTCCTCTGGCTGCAGTGTGGAGAATCATGGGATTACTGAAAGTGCTGGTCAAGCATCATCAGGGATGAACTTGATGAAAAAGGAACTTATTACAGAATATTAATTTACCTATTTTTTATTTCACAGGGAAGTCTTTCTACAATGTCAACTAAACTAAACCCTGTACTCAGTTGCTAGCACAATCAGCATTGGATTAGGTAAGGTGAGAGCTGACAGAGAAAAACTAGTTAGGAAGCTGTAGTAAATAAAACAAGGAAAGTCTACCCAATTTTTCAGAGTAGGGTGGTATTAGAATAGAAATGGAGTTGAGGAAACAGATTCGAGAAATGTTAGAGGAGAAACTACTGAATTTAGCAATTTCATTGGATAGATGAGAGGAGAGTCCAGGCCCCAATAACAGTGTTTAGCCCATTGTGGTGGCTCACACCTGTAATCCCAGCACTTCAGGAGGCCAGGGTACGCTGATCACTTGAGCTCAAGAGTTTGAGACCAACCTAGGCAGCATGGTGAAACCTGTCTCTACAAAAAAAATATGCAAAATTAGCTGGGTGTTGTGGTGCATGCATGACTAATCCCAGCTACTCAGGAGGCTGAGGTGGGAAGACTACCCAAACTAGGGAAATTCAGGCTGCAGTGAACTATGATCATACCACTGTACTCCAGCCTGGGCAATACAGTGATACCCTGTCTCAAAAAATTAAGTAAATAAATAAGGATGATGAATGGTGGTACAACAACATGCATAAAATTTGCCTGCTAGGAGAAGCACTTGAACCCAGAGGGCAGAGGTTGCAGTGAGCTGAGATTGCATCACTGCACTCTAGCCCAGGTGACAGAGTGAGACTCTGTCTCAAATAAATAAATAAATCTTAAATACTAAGATAGAAAAAAAAAAAAATGCCTGCTATGAACTTAACATTTTCATGTGTAACCTCAGAAATTTAGATCTTTAATTAGTATTCATTATAATAAAATTACATTCCTATTTTGTAAATACAAACCAGGCTTAATTAATTCACTCCTTTCCTACTAAGATATTAGTAGACTTCTTTTTTTGTTGTTGTTGTTTTGAGATGAGTCTCACTTTGTTGCCCAGGCTGGAGTGCAGTGGTGAGATCTCGTCTCACTGCAACCTCCACCTCCTGGGCTCCAGCTGTTCTCCTGCCTCAGCCTCCCAAGTAGCTGGGATTACAGGAGTGTGCCACCACGCCCAGCTAATTTTTGTATTATTTAGTAGAGATGGGGTTTCACCCTATTGGCCAGCCTGGTCTCGAACTCCTGACCTTGTGACCCATCTGCCTCCGCCTCCCAAAGTGCTGGAATTACAGGCGTGAGCCATTGCAGCCAGCCGTTAGTAGACTTCTGTATCTCCATGTGCAAGTTATTTTGCTTAAACTTACTGTATGTTTCTTACCTCTTAGCCCACTCTAAAGTTTCTCCAGTAATCTGAAATTGCTCTCGCTAAGATGACCTCTGTGTCTCTACATTCATTTTTTATGCTGTGTGATCATTTCCTCCTTGAAATACTCTCTACTTTTGAATTATTCAACACTAATTTTATGATTATCTTCTTACTTTTTTGGGCTGTCTTCAGTCATCTCTGCTGTTCTTCTCTCTACACCTTAGCCCAGGTCTTCACATTCATATCAAAATAATTTCAGCTGTTCCTGTGGTCTCACCATCTACTTATTGATGCCGCCCAAATCAGTATCTCCGATCCATCTCTTTCTAATGAGTTCCAGACTTATAGGCCAAGTGTCTACCCAGTATTTCTCTGGTCTCCTTCCAGTTACCCAGATTCATTATCTATATTGACAAACTGCCCTTCCCCAAACATACCCCCACTTCCTGTACTCTGTTTCTCAGTGAATGAAGACACCATCAATTCGGATATTTGAAAGTCTTCCTCCCTTGACTTCTCACCATTACCTCTTAATTAGATTATTACAATAGGCTCTTAACTGGCTCACTGCTTCCATCCATGCACTGCTAGCCACTCTTCTATAATTAGTAGTATGTTGCTAAATATTTAATAAATAGTTATCTAGGGAGGGGGAAAAGCCCTGATTTGTAGTGTTTCCCTGCTTTCTATGATATAAATATCACTAAAGTCTAGTTTCAAGCTATCAATATGACATCACTGATCATGGAGTTGGGAAGAGATGTGCAGTCTCACACTATTCTGTACACCATACAGATACAACAGGCATAACCTTAAGAGTAAAGGTAACAGTAAAATCACTAGGAAATTTGGGAGTTTTGGTTATTTATTACCTTTCCTTTTAATGTATTTAACTGTAAATTTATATAATTTAATTTTTAATAATAGCTGTGTTTAACAACTGGCTCACAAATTTTCTGTTAACAATCAGCTCTCACAATTAGCCTTTTAATGACTTATCATTGCCATTTTGGATAAGGTTCAAAATTACTCTTTGATTTAGAAGGCCCTCCAGTATTGTTCCATGTTATAACACTATTCTCTCTGTCCCCAAGATATTCTTAACACTCTTTACTGTCACACCCTAACTTCCCTAGCTGATCCCTATAATTTTTAAGGCCTTCTGACTAGACTAGCTCTTCCCTGTTTTATGGTTTCATACAACCCTGTATTTACCCTTTTATAAGACTCGTGGACACTTGTAGTTACTTTTATTATAATAATAAATAGCATTTATTTAGTATTTAGTATGTACTGTGTACTGGGCTAAGCATTTACTCACATTTTTTCATTTAATCCTTATGACCACACTAGGTGCTATTCTTATCCCTTCATAGATGATAAAAAGGAGACCTAAAAAAGTTAACTTGCCTAAAGTCACCCAGATATTATGCAAGGGAGCCAAGATTGGTGCCCTGGTTTGAGTCCAGAGACGGTGGCCTCTCTGTTCTATTGCATCCAGCTATTTGATTCCCTACATTCCCCATTACAGTATACACTCATGGAAGAAAAGTACTATGTCTGTTTTGTTTATTACTATGTCTTCAGTGCCTAGGACAGTGCCTGGAACGTAAGAGGCATTCAACTAATTATTGAAGATGCACACAAAATAGCACTGTTTAAACTACTGAGTGATTTTCCAAAACATCCAGTGATATTATTATAAGAGACTGGTTCTGTTACTGAGGTGAGGCTAGGCAGAGTAAATGAGTTATCAGAAAATCTCTATTTTCAGCCAGGCATAGTGGCTTATGTCACTATGCCTAGCACTTTGGGAGGCCAAGTCAGGTGGATTACCAGAGGTCAAGAGTTCAAGACCAGCCTGGCCAACATCGTGAAACCACGTCTCTACTAAAAATAAAAAAATAAATAAATAAATTAGCCAGGTGTGGTGGTGGGCACCTGCAATCCTAGCTACTTGGGAGCCTGAGGCAGGAGAATCGCTTGAACCCGGGAGGCAGAGGTTGCAGTGAGCAGAGATTGTGCCACTGCACTCCAGCCTGGGCAACAATAGTGAAACTCCGTCTCAAAAAAGAAGAAATTCTCTATAGGAAAAAACCTGTATGTGAATTGTAGAGTGACATACAGATGTTAGTATCTTCAGATCGGCGTGCGTACAGGATTGAAGGGGATGGGGACAGAAGATGGGAGAGTGTTGACTAAATCTGAACATTCATTTCTTTGTGCTTCTCATTTCTGGTAAAGTGAGCAAACCTAGTAGATGCGATATACCCAAAGCTGTTACCTACTGAGGCTGCATTTGGGGGCTTCTCAACCACATAATCTTCTAACTTGGATTTTGTGGTCTTTTTGAACACTAGTCATTTCATAATATTTAAAGGATAATGTAGTCAAACTAAAGAATTTTACACAAACTTACTGCATATGAATGTTGATTCTTATATTTCCAAGTTACCGGTAGAATTTTTAGAGATAGGCCCTTATATTTGTCTCTTCCTTAAGAGGTACACCTGGATGCATATTAATATACAGTTGACCCTTGAACAATGCAGGGTTTCAGGGCTCAGAAGCTCCCTCACCACACAGTCAAAAATCAGAGTATGACTTTTGGTTCCCCAAAAATTGAACTACTAGGCTGGGCGCAGTGGCTCACGCCGGTAATCCCAGCACTTTGGGAGGCCAAGGCGGGCAGATCAAGAGGCGGGCCAAGGTCAAGAGATCGAGAACATCCTGGCCAACATGGTGAAACCCCGTCTACAGAAGAAAAAAAAAAAAATTGAACTAATAGCCTTACCAATAACATAAACAATCAACACATATTTTGTATGTTGTGTTCTATACAGTATTCTTACAATAAAGTAAGCCAGAGAAAAGAAAACGTTATTAAGAAAATCCTGCTGGGCATGGATCTTAAAGAAATTCAAGAGCTAGGCCGGGCGCGGTGGCTCAAGCTTGTAATCCCAGCACTTGGGAGGCCGAGGCAGGTGGATCACGAGGTCGAGAGATCGAGACCATCCTGGTCAACATGGTGAAACCCCGTCTCTACTAAAAATACAAAAAATTAGCTGGGCATGGTGGCACGTGCCTGTAATCCCAGCTACTCAGGAGGCTGAGGCAGGAGAATTGCCTGAACCCAGGAGGCGGAGGTTGCGGTGAGCCGAGATCACGTCATTGCACTCCAGCCTGGGTAACAAGAGCGAAACTCCGTCTCAAAAAAAAAAAAAAAGAAATTCAAGAGCTTATCACACCTGTAATCCCAACACTTTGGGAGGCCAAGGCGGGTGGATCACCTGAGGTCGGGAGTTCAAGACCAGCCCGGCCAACATAGTGAAACCACATCTCTAAAAATACAAAATTAGCTGGGTGTGGTGGCACATGCCAGTAATCCCAGCTACTCAGGAGGCCGAAGCAGAAGAATTGCTTGAACCTGGGAGACAGAGTTTGTAGTGAGCGGAGATCGTGCCATTGCACTCCAGCCTGGGCAACAAGAGTGAAACTCTGTCTCAGAGAAAAGAAAATCCTAAGGAAGAGGAAATATATTTACTATTCATTAAGTGGAAGTGGATCACTATAAAGGTCTTCATCCTTGTCATCTTCACATTGAGTAGGCTGAGGAGGAGGAGGAAGAGGAGGGTTGGTTTGATGCCTCAAGCATGGCAAAGGTGAAAGAGCTGGATAGGGAGGCAGGAAAGGAAGGCATACTCAGTCCAACTTTATGGAAATACATCATAATTTCTGCCTTACTCTTGCTTTTTCATTTCTCTAAAAATGGTTCTATATTGTACCAATCCTTCTTCTCTGCTTTTATTTCAGTGATCCTGTTGTAGAAGGATCCATGTTGTAAAAGAAGTCAAAAGGGTTCTGAATAATCAAAACCCTTCTGCCAGATTTTCTAATGTCAATTTTCTAGCACTGCTTCTTGTACATCTTCTTCCTCATCATCTGGCAGTGGTTCAGAAGCACTCACCTTCATCAAGCAGTCTTCTGTTAATTCCTCTGGTCTGGTTTCTTAAAACAGCTCTTGAAGTTCTTTAAGATCCATATCTTAAAACCTGTCATTGCCCAGCTTTTTTTGCCATATCTACAATCTCTTTTATGATTTCCCTTATCAGCTCTGTTATAAAGACTGTGAGGTCATGCACAACATACCCACATACTTTCTTTTCCAGGCATGTATTGTTTTGGGCTTGTCTTTCACCACTTTTTCTTTAACAATTTTCAATGATGCAATCCTTTTATACTTTAATGATGTTCTCTATCTCTGTTAGGGTTTTCTTCCATAGCGTTGGCAGTCCTTTCCATAGAGTACCATATGTAATGATCCTTAAAACTTGTGACCCTCTGATCTAGAAGTAGAATTAAAGACATTGAGTTTGAGGACAGGTAGACCACTTTGACACTTTCTGTGTTGGACTCATGCATCTGGGTGTCCAGGGGCATTGTCCAAAATGGAAAGAACTTTAAAAGGCAGTACTTTACTAACAACATACTTCCTAAATTCAATGGAACCAATCCAGAAAAAAGAGTTCTTATTGTCCAGGTCTTCTTATTTTACAACAAAAAGACTGGCTGCTGGTGTTTATTTTACCCTTTCATGGCTCAGGGTTTAGTAAGTTTATAGATAAAAGCAGAACTGATATAAACCCAACCGCATTTGTACAAAACAGAGTTAGCCTATCCCTTCTTGCCTAAATCCTGATGTTTGCTCTTCTTTCTTACTAATATATATCCTTTGTGGCACTTTTTTCAAGAAAGGGCACTTTTGCCTGCATCAAAACCTGTTCAGACAGATATCCTTTCTCCTGAATGATCTTAATGGCATATGGGAACTCATCCACAGCCTCTTGCTCAGCAGAAGCTGTTTCTCAGTTATCTTGACATTTTTTAAGCCAAACCTCTTTCTAAAATCATCAAACATCCTCTGATGGCATTAAATTCTGCAGCTTTAGATCATTCACCTTCCTTTTGTTTTATCATATAACAACCTCACTTTTTCTCAAATCATATTACAGTTGTATATAAACTCTTAACATGATTTCGTTCTAAACTTTTCTTTGTAAAAAGAAAAAAAAATCTACCTGTAGTCCTGCAATATAGGTATGCCTTTCTTACAGCAATTGTGCGCTTACATAAAAGCTGCATTTCTGCTATGGAATAGATATTTCACAAGAAGTGCAAGGTTTTTGCACCTGCTGGCACAGCTGTAGCAACAGCTTGATGAATTTTTTTTTTTTTGCAATGGTCCTGGATTTATTTATTTTGAAATGGCAAGCAACCACAGCTGCAGACCTAAATCTATGCCTTTCTCTCTATATATATATGGGTATCATGGTATTCTTTGAGGCTTATGGTATTACACTAAATACAATGAAAAATATGCAAGAACTGCTAGAGATCACATTCTGCCGTGATACACAATTTACTGGAGAGACAAATTGCTCAGAGATAATTAGCATCACAGCACTTTAAGTGGGTACTCACAGCACTTACCGAGCTCAGCACAATAGCAATAAAAGATGGCTATGAAATTGTTAGAGTAGTACAGTGTATGCTACAGTAAGTTTTATGTAATTATTATTACTGCATCTTTACATTTGTTTACATTCTTCTGGACTGAATGATGCCATGTATGGTCTCTGCATAAGTGTTTTATAATTTTAACTTTTTAAAATTTGTGTATATTTTGTGGTAGTAAATGATAAAATAAACTAGTATCTACATATATTTTATGTATTCATAACATACCTTTTTCTTAATTTTTTTGATATTTCCAGGCTACACGGTTTGTCTGCAAGTTTTTTCCAATTGTTTCAAATTCCAGTATATTTATTGAAAAAATACACATATAATTGGACCTATGTAGTTCAAAACCCATGTTGTTAAAGGGTCAGCTGTGTTTTATATTTGAAATATGAAAGGAAAAACATTGCTACAAAGCATGTTGCCTTTTTGTAAGTAGTCTTTCTGCTGCACTACTAATTGAAGAGTTGACTTTTTTAAAATATTTGCTGTTTAACTATATAAAATACAGTATATTATTAAATATTCTGTATTTGTATTGATTTAGCAAATTTTGTTGAATTCTACTGTTTGCAAAGCATTGTGCTAAGTGTCAAAGATAAATACATGACAGGATGTGATAATAATGATCCCTGTCCTCAAGAAATTTGTAATCTTTATGTTACTGGAAACTAAAATGGAAAAATTACAAAACAATGTGGTAAGTGTCATAATGATGCAACATAGAGGAAGAAGTACCAGATTCTGCCTAGGTTTTGCTTGAAAAAATTTAATCTTTAGATAATCTGATTTATCTTGACTACATATATCAGCAGCAGATTAAAGTATGGTGAAATTATTCCTGCTTATAATGGTTCTACTTAAACTTGATCTAAGTCGAGCTTTATTTTACCACCCAGGTTAAGGGCTATTGGGAAGAAATGCGTCTTTTTAAAAACCCTGAAAAATAAAACCACTCAAGTCAGGTTTTGACTAATTTTTAAACATTACCATGAATTGGTTTCTGTTCCAGTGTCTGGACCTTGTGAGTTTAAATTTTTTTATGTAAATGGGACACATTTTTAATCATCACCTTCTAAATTTCTTTTAATCATTTAGGTGCAACCAGAATTATGATAGTTGGAATTTGAGTTGCCTATTTTTTTTTTTTAAGGTTTCCTTTGGATCCTAAAAGAAGAAAAGAATGGGTTCGCCTGGTTAGGCGCAAAAATTTTGTGCCAGGAAAACACACTTTTCTTTGTTCAAAGCACTTTGAAGCCTCCTGTTTTGACCTAACAGGACAAACACGACGACTTAAAATGGATGCTGTTCCAACCATTTTTGATTTTTGTACCCATATAAAGTCTATGGTAGGTAATGTTCCTCTTCTTTTTTAAAAACCATTTTTAGAACCCATTCCTTTTGTTTATGCAGTTATTAGCTGAAATTCATTTATAGTGATATGCCTCAAGAAAGTTGCAGACCTTCCTCTTGTACAGTAAAGGTGCAGGCTGGAATCAGAGTTCGGGTCTCCTGACTCCAATATTCTTTCCCCAATCCAAATTGTTTTACTATATTGGAATTTTACATTATTACCAATTATTATTAATAATTAGATCATTGGTAAAACTGAAAAATCATATGAGCAATGAAACACATCCAGCATTACTCTACTCTGATTTAAAAATGACATACAAATAGCATGTGCAAATTAAGAGCACCACAGCCAGAGTTACACCAAAGAATGTAAGTTCAGAGGGAGGCAGGCATAACAGAAAACTTTAGAGAGCTTGGGCATTTAGGGTGGGCTTTTGAAGCCCTGGGAGTTTAAAATAGAGAAAAGTGATCCTGGCCTTGCACAGAACAATTACAGTTGCATAATGAGAACAAAAACCAATGGGTTGAGGGATGAGTAGGAAATAAATGTTAGAAAGTGATATTTAAAAGGAAGGAATGAAGAAAAAGTAAAGTAAAATAAAAAAGGAAAGATATAAGGTACAAGATGAATGAATTAAAACAATGTTTTATATAGTTAGGGAAGATCTGACCAGAGAGGAAAACCTAGCTGGGAAGGCAGGGTCACCAAAGGTAAAAAAGGGTAAGATGAATACAAATAGTTTTGCTTTGAAAAGGAGGACAAACATGTTTTCCTCTGAGAGACGAAAAACTACTGTTTCTCTTGTTTGTAACAGTGAAACTTTTAAATGTTATTAGTTATTATTTGAATGGGAGAGGAGGTTGTGGTAAGCTAATTACCACTGATGTTAGAAAAGCTCCAGGAGGGCAGGAACTTTTGTCTTTTTCAATTGTGAATCTTCAGCACCTCAAACAGTGCCTGGGACATAGTATATACTCAAATACTTACTGAATTTGAAACGTACCTTATTTTTGATATTTTGATCATTTATTTATTTAACAAATACAACTAACTTTCCATTATGCCAGAATCTAAGCTTAGTGCTGGAGATAAAAAGATCAAAAAAGAGTCCCTGTCAATTCCCTAGGCAGAGGGACTCACTGTAGCTTTCATGAGGATATTTGTCTTATTTGTTCAGTGTAGTGTCCCCAGGAATTCATAGTATGTGTTTCAGTAAATGTTTAATGAACGAAAAACACAGACTTATGAGGATATGATATAATCTGGAAACTCTCAGTGGCTTAGTATTGATGGAGTATAAATCAAGACGGTAAATTGCACAATGTGGTGAGATCCTAAATCGTATAGTATGCCATGTAAAAAATTTTTTTCCTTTAGATAATGGATAGGCAAAGAATAATTTGGCCAGAATAGAAATGTCAAATATTCTAGAAAAATTATTCTCATGGCAGAATGTGGATTAATGAGGATCAAAATGCAGTGGAGAGATCAATAATGAATAATATAGTCAGAAAAGATATGATATGGGCCCAATATACGTAGTGACATTAAGAATGACAGTGTTCAGTCTTATTGTGGAACAGAGAAAGAAAAAAAAAATGACAGAGAGGAGAGGATTCATGATAGGAATATTTAGGAGGTAGAAATAATAGGACTTGATGACCATTTGAATGAAAGAGAGAAAAGAAAAAAGTCCCCTGATTTGGGCAAATGTTCCTAGCCAGATTTTAAATCCTTGAAGATGTAACCATGAAGAATTAATAGGTAAATCTATTTAGAAGCTTGATACTTAAGAATATATTTCTACGGATCCTTCAGTTTTCAATAAGTAGGACCCTGGTCTAAAATATTCATCAAATTGAGAAAATGGTGTTTAATTAAAAGGGGATCAGATTAATATTATAAATAACAAAATATCTACATATATTCTGAATTGACCTTAGTAAGTAAATTGCAAAGGATCTTTAAAATCTCTATGGAATCACAGTCAATAATTTGAAAGAAACCTTGGAAGTCTATTGTCCATTTCCAAATCAGTGTTTGAATCTCTCTGGATATAGGACAAAAAGAAATAGGTGACTACAGTCAATTCAAACAGTTAAAAACTTAATCTTGAATTACATGAGATGGCTGCTGCCATTTCCTATTAAAGTTTTAAAATTGACTTTTTAAGAAGCAGTTTAAATACTCTGTTATCCAAAACTGGACAGTATTTGCTTATTTGTGATGTTTCATAATTTATGTTCAATCCTCTAATTTTATTTGGCTCAGAAACTCAAGTCAAGGAATCTTCTGAAGAAAAATAGCAGTTGTTCTCCAGCCGGACCATCTAATTTAAAATCAAACATTAGTAGTCAGCAAGTACTACTTGAACACAGTTATGCCTTTAGGAATCCTATGGAGGCAAAAAAGAGGATAATTAAACTGGAAAAAGAAATAGCGAGCTTAAGAAGAAAAATGAAAACTTGCCTACAAAAAGAACGCAGAGCTACTCGAAGATGGATCAAAGCCACATGTTTGGTAAAGAATTTAGAAGCAAATAATGTATTACCTAAAGGTACATCAGAACACATTTTACCAACTGCCTTAAGAAGTCTACCTTTGGAAGAGTTTAAGCTCCTTGAACAAGATCAGCAAGATAAAACACTGCCAAGTATAAATCTAAAACAGACCAAGAGTACCTTCATTTAAGTTTAGCTTGCACAGAGCTTGATGCCTATCCTTCATTCTCTTCAGAGGTAAATTATGGCACTTATGCCAAAATACATTATTTAATAAAGTTTTACTTGAAGTAACATTACTATAATTTGTGAAGACTTGATTACAAAAGAACAAAAAACTTTTTATGAATATTTTATTTGAAAATGAATGGAAGTGCCTTACACTAGAATTACGTACTTAAAAATTTTCCTGGGAAAGTGCTTGTTTGAAAGGTGTTTTTTGTTTTTGTCTTTTTAAACTACTGTTAAAGAACAGCTTATGATAAGTAATATGTTTAACTTATATTAGAAAAGAATTTTTTCCTGTACCAAAGTTGGCATATTGCATTCTAAATAAGATGCTAAATAGGAGTTAACCAACATTTAACATGACCTTAAAACTGCCGGGTTTTGTATTAATTAAATTATAATTGGCACTGTGATTTGAAAAATTTATAGAAAAAAAAAGATACTGGCTCACGCCTGTAATCCCAACACTTTGGGAGGCCAAGGCGGGTGGATCACGAGGTCAGGAGATTGAGACTATCCTCCCAACATGGTGAAACCCCGTCTCTACTAAAAATACAAAAAAATTAACTGGGCATGGTGGCACAAGCCTGTAGTCCCAGCTACTCGGGAGGGTGAGGCAGGAGAATTCCTTGAACCCGGGAGGCAGAGGTTGCAGTGAGCCGAGGTCACGCCACTGCATTCCAGCCTGGTGCCTGATGATGGAGTCAGGCTCTGTCTCAAAAAAAAAAAAAAAGAAAAGAAAAGGTACAGGGCAAGTTTTTAAATTTAAACTTTCTGTATTTTTTTTAACCAGTAAAAGTGAGATTATGATGGCCTCTCTCATAAGAATATTCGATTTTAAAATAGGTTGTAAAATATTTGAATGTGAGATACCATTGAGTCATCCAAACTAGGTAAAGCCTCAAGTACTTCAAATTAGTAAAATCTAGTAGGTGATTATATTCACCTAAGAAAACATGTAAAATAATTTAGAGTTCAGGACCTAGCTTTTATCTTAAACAAATAGATAAATGTATACTACTCTTTTTCTCATAATAAAAATCTTACATTTCCATTCAAAATTGGTGCTCCCATATTTGTTGATAACCAAAACTCCTAAGCTTATTTTTTAATTTCTTTTTTCTTTTTTTTATAAAGACGAGGTTTCACCATGTTGGTCAGGCTGGTCTTGAACTCCCGACCTGAGGTAATCCATCCGCCTTGACCTCCAAAGTGCTTGGATTACAGGCGTGAACCACCACGCCCGGCCTTTTTTTTTTTCTTTTTAACTACTTTCCAAATACATACTATACCCCAAAAATAGCAAGCATATCAGTATCATGGGCTTTTTCTTTCCTCTTCATAAACCCACAGTAAAATTTAGCCACAGGAAACTACTTATATCTTCACAGTTTGTATTAATAACTTAAAATGTTATCATTTTATCTTAGACCTATCAGCTTGCTTTTTATCTCCTTTTTTAGTGAGTGAAATAGAGCAACCAGCATGCCTGTGTTCCCAGCTACTTGGGAGGCTAAGGTGCGAAGATCACTTGAGCCTAGGAGGTTGAGGCTGTAGTGAGCTGTGATTGTACCACTGTACTACAGCCTGGGCGATGGAGTGAGACCCCTGTCTCTAAAACAACAACAACAACAAAACCAAATAGAGCAACCATAGTGCATAAGGGAAATTAAATGTTCCCTGTAGAAATATGTGTATGTCTGTGATAGTGGCATGCAAATGCTAATTATTTTACAAAATAAAAGTATCAGAACTATTCTTATTATTACCACTCAAACAACTAAAGGGTTTGCTTTATTTCACTAATGTTTAAAAGGAACCCTTTGCTTCAAACAGCTTTGTTGAAATCATGTCAAAATTTGTTAATATATAATCAAGTTATTTAACTCAACTTATTTAATTCAAGCCTGTGATACTAACATATGAAGGTAGCATATACCAAGTCATACATTGTTGTAAGTCTTCCTTATAAAGGAAGATTTTATGATTTTTTTTAAAAACTGTTTTTGTTTTTTTTTTGCCAGCTGTTTACGATTGCATTTGCTTGGATCCTAGCAACAATTCTTTTACAGTATTAGCACTCTTTTTACTAAGGAATGCCTCCCAACGAAATGCAAAGGTAGGAAAAAGTCTCTTATAATTCCCATGAGGTATTTAAAACAGGTATTTATGAAAATCTTTTTGTGGATGTTATAAATCTTGCTAGTTATTTTATCTTAAGTATTGGATATAGTTCCTTGGAATTGTCATTATGTATTTATTTTTTTCTAGTATGGCTTCAAATAACTTTTCACCAGCATGTAATTTACTGACCGTATCTACTTTATAACTCAAAATAAATTGGACAAATAATCTTCTGAATAAAAACTACTTTTTCCAAATATAACCACTCTCATGTGGTTCACCCTTCACCCCTGCTACAGAACACTTATTTATGTAGCCCAGTTCCCATCTACAATAGTATCTTGAAATTTTGATAAATTTTTTAAATCATAAAAATAAAATATTGTAAAATACAACAACCTTTTGACGAGGTTACTTCATCTTAATTCATTATTACGTGACAGTATTAAATAAACTACTACTCAGTAATTGTAAACTATTCTGTTTTATCTGTCATTTTCATGTTACTGTCCTGATAACTTCCTCCAAACTCTTCCCATCAAATTGTTTTATTACCATACATTTGTCTGCCTTAAAACTGCTTCATTCACAGAGAATAACCTAAAAGGAGTCTGTTAAAATCCTGTTTTCAGTTTGATGGATTTTTTTTTTATCACTCTGACCATAAAACTAACTGAAATTATAATAGCTTTTTTCCTCTGCTAGTCACAACACAGATCTTCTGTTCATTTGTTCTCTGTCTACTGGGCACCAGCCTCTACAAAGAACCAGCCAAAGGCTAGGTACTTGATATAAAAATGATGCCATAAAAGAAATAGATATAACGTCCTTTGATAAATGCTGTTGAATTGGAATTCAATAAAAACTTTAAACCGTAGACCTTTTCATAATCAAATATTTTTGTTTTGAGACAAAACAGATTCCTCCTTATATTGACTTAGCAAAGGAGATACAAGGACATTAGCATTTGACCTGAATTATGGTTTTTTATTGAATGAGTTGTAAGACAACATTTTTACTGTTTAAAATGAACACTGAACAAATTTGTTATTAATGGTATCTTTGTTAAAAGTAAAACATAGCTCTAAATAAAATACTATATGAAAACCCAGTACTGGAGTTCATTTGAAATTTGCTGTAACAAACCTATTAACACAGATTTTTTAAATAACTCAGAATCTTATAAAGCACTTCAGTACTTATTTGTCCTCTTTTTCCTTACAAACATTCTGTGTGGTAGGTGGTATTATCTCTGATTTACACATGAAGACCTCTTTGTTAATCTAATTTATTTATTCATTCTGGCATTGACTATGTGCCAACTTACACAAGGAATAGAAATGTCTAGATAATAATAAATGTCTAGATAATAAATGTGATCTAGACAGTTCTAGATTGAACATAGGTCTCCTGCCAACAAATCCTCTCTGCTGTTCACATTACTCTTTATTTAACATATGAACCAGTTTACTAAAATAGAGCAAATCATGTGTCTTAAAACATGAAAATAGTAAAGTCTTTGGGGTCACTTGATCTTTTCTAGGTAGGCTTTATAATGTTGTGTTTTATCTCATTTCTCAATGTTAGAATACGGGTAGATTTAATTTTGCTATATAGGAAATGGTTCATCTTTGTACCAAAATATTGGATTCTTCTGATATTTAGACAGTTGTAAACTTTCTAAAATTAGGATTTTGTAGTGTATACTAAACAATTGCATATTCACAAAAATGTATTCTGAGTATGGTGATATTAAACATTTTTTCCCCAAGGAAATCAGTGTCATGCCTGTTATTTCTAAAAAATGTATATAAATATTTCTGTGAATGTTCTTCTAAATTGACCCCCTAAAAGACTTCTGTGAAGTCCTTCTCCCTAAATTGACACAAACTGTAAACCAAATAAAGATCATGTAAAGCCTTGAAGAGGAATTATTTTCATTTTTGTTGCTCAAGTTATATCTAAATGTACATTATAGTTTATATGCACTGTTTTAGGTACTGGTTAGGCAATCTAGACAAGATACATGAAGGGCTGTAAAAATGGTAAGAGTTTATCTCCATCCTGACCATAATTTGAGGCTCACACAAAAATTTATTTGCAGGCTAGGTACAGTGTTCATGCCTGTAATCCCAGCATGTTATGGGGCTAAGGTGGGAGGATCACTTAAGGCAAGGAGTTCAGGATCAGCTTGGGCAACATAGTGAGACCCCATCTCTACAAAAAGAATAAAAATTAGCCAGGCACAGAGGTGTGTGACTGTAGACCCTAGCTATTTAGGAGGCTGAGGCAGGAGGATTGCTTGAGCCCAGGAGTTCAAGACTGTAGTGAACTATGATTGTACCACTGCACTCCAGCCTTCCAGCCTGGGCAAGAGTGCAACCCTGTCTCAAAAAAAAAAAAAAAAAAATGCAGACATAATTGTCAAGACTCTATTTAACTAACAAAAGGGAAAGAAGATTATGATACTTTATTTTTTCTGATTAAAATATTGTTCAAATACTGTAATTCAAAAAATACTATCTTACTAAGAGAAACTGATGAAACTAAGATGTGCCAGACATGGTGTCTGTCCTCAAGGCTACTGGAAAATAATAATTCCATTTGTTTATTCCTGCCCTCACTTCTCCCTTACTCTTTCCCTAAGGCCGTTTTAGAATGAGCTCAATCTAATACCACAAATACATCTTCAAATTGCTCCCTAATTTTTAAAATCTGTGCTACAAACATTTAAAAAAAACCAAAATATTTGGGTTTATTGTCACGAAGGCACATATTGTTTGGGTGCAGTGGCTCACACCTGTAATCCCAACACTTTGGGAAGCCGAAGCAGTAGGATCACTTATAGCCAGGAGTTTGGGACCAGCCTGGACAACACAGTGAGACTTCACCTCTATTTTTATATTAAAAAAATTTTAATGGGGTATGTGCCTATTTCTCAGATGAATTTTCAGTTTTTTTATTTAGCAAGCACTCTAAAATGTGTTATTTTTAACTCTTCTCCATTTTCTTAGACTTCCTATTTTCATGTTCTGCTTAACCACCAAACAAACCTTTACAAATTGCCCTTCCTTTAGCTTAGTCACTGAGCAAACTGTCATCTTTCAGTTCTTACCTTGGACGCTCCCCTCTCTTATGTGACACCATCCCTAAACATACCAACGTGACATAAGTGCTTTTCTCCTTGAGTCCTGTTTATATATAACTTGGATAAAGACATCATCTTATTATAATGTAATTGTCTACATGTCCATTTTCATCTGCTGTACTCCTTCAAGGCAGAGACTGGTGTATGTGTCTTAGCACTCAAACCACTCAAATACTAGCACATTTCAGAAAATCTAAACCAATCCCGTTGGATAAGATTCAAAAGGATTGTAAATAAAATGTGATAATTTCCTAGCACACAGTAAGTACTTTTTGCCATAATGATAATTTTTGTGATTGGTATTGAACATAAATGTCTACCCTAGAAACAAACTTTATATCAAAGAGCACTTAAATAGGTATTTATATTGTGAAATTTATTAAAGATCAGTGGAACAATAAACTTTCAGTTCTATGATTGCCATAATAAGTCTCAAACTGCATGTTTTCTACAGGAAATAAATCTGGTGAAGACAACTGTTGGAACCATTTTTAAAAATGTGATTGTTTCTTAACTTAGAGCCATTAATAATATACTCTATCCCATGTGGAGACAACATTTCTCACCCTTAAATTTGATCAGAGGTATCTTTGAGTGGTAGGGATGCCTACTAATAACAAAGAATAACTACTATTAAGTTAAAAAATACAGTTTAGGAAATGCCTAACCAGAAATTTCCCATCTCCAGAAAATGGCTTTTAAAGTAAATAGAAAAATACTTTGTTGAAATTTTTAAGATTGATAGTCTATAAAAATTATAACAGTAAAATCATGGTTTTTTAAAAGTATACAATAGTCCCCCCCCCCCTCCACACTTATCCTTGGGGATACATTCCAAGACCCTCAGTGGATGCTTGAAACCATGGATAATACCAAACCCTATATATACTTACGTTTTTTCCGATACCTAATACCTATGATAAAGCTTAATTTATAAATTTAGCACAGTAAGAAATTAGCAGTAAAACCTAATAAAATAGAACGATTATAACAATATATTGTAATAAAAGTAAAGTAAGGGCACTGTGATACTGCAACAGTCCATCTGGTAACTGAGATACCTCCTAAGTGACTAACGAAAGAGTAGTGTCTATTGTATGGATATGCTGGATAAATGGGGGATTCATGTCCCAAGTGGGACGGAGCTGGATGGCATGAGATTTCATCATGCTACTTTGAATGGCATGCAATTTAAAACTTATGAATATTTCTGGAATTTTTTAAATATTTTCAAATTGTTACCAGTAGAAGGTGTCCAGGTTCTTGCCTTTTGGAGCAAAGAATTGGACAAAACACGCAAAGCAAGGAAAGAATGAAGCAACAAAAGCACAGATTTATTGAAAACAAAAGTAGGTTCCGTAAGGTGGAAGCCACAGAAGCACAGGCACTCAAGAGGCTCCTTACAGAATTTTCTAGGGTTTAAATACCCTTTATAGGTTTCTCATTGGTTACTTGGTGTACACCCTATGTAAATAAAGTAGTAGCCCACAGTTAGTCTGATTGGTTGTGGAAAGCAACCAATTAGAGGCTGAAGTGAAGTTACAAAGTTACACTCCTATGCAAACTTCAATTTCCTGTATGCCATGCAGAAGAAAAGGGGAGTTTGCAAAGGGAGTAGCTTCTGGTCCTTTTGTTACTTAGGTGTGGAAAGTTTAGGATTTTCTTTTAGATTTAACTACAGGAAGTCAGCATGAAAAAGCCTTAGGTTCCCTGCCTCCAGACCCTATTCTCCTGTCTCAAGATCACATTGAACCCTAGGTAACTGAAACTGCATACTGCATATAAGGAAGAACTACTGTATTTTAATTACATTAACTCCCTAAATTATTTTGGTCTTAAGCTAGAATAACTTTTATGGAGAACAACATCAATAATTGGTCAGTGAAAAAAAAAAGAAGGGAAAATACTCATTTGAAGGATCAGTTCACTGACACTATTATTTAATATGCATTTTTAGCCAGATCTAATAGTCACGAGAAAATAATCCCTAACATCCAGGAACTGACCTGACACAGCTATACCCCAGTGTTGGGAGATAGCTTGACATTCATAGCTAGGCTATGATTGTCCTATAGAACACCAACTAATCAGAGAAGGTCACTCTGTGACTGTGATGAAGCAAGGCCAAAAAAAAGACCAGTTTATAATTTCGTCTAAGCAGAGAAAAACAATGCCACCGGGCAAACCACAAAAACATTGGCTTTTATTATTAATAATTGTACTCAATAGTCTGGTAACATTTGATATTGGCCAGGAAGCTTGGTAAGATAATCCGATCATTTACCTATGCAGAACAGACTGAGACAAAAGCAAAGTAGGCACATAATAAATTTCAGCATAAAGACCATATATGGATGTGATCTAGTACAAGAAGGCCACTACTATTTAGTCCTACTTCACAGATTTGGTTCTTAGTTAACTACTTAATTAGATGGCATGTATTCTGAAATTTAATGTGAGTTTTTTTTTAAGTACTCTTGGGGGTTAAACACAATTGTATACTGTGTCTGAAATGGACCTGGCTCCTCTTCTTACACTGTCAGCAATTAACTGAAAAAAATTGGTAAATATTATGTAATTATCAGTTACTGTTAACCCAGGCAAACAAGTTAATTTCAAATAAAACATGAAATCAGGCCGGGCATAGGTGGCTTATGGCTGTAATCCCAGCACTTTAGAAGGCCGAGGCAGGTGGATCCCCTAAGGTCAGGATCAGCCTGGCCATGACAGCAAAACCCCGTCTCTAATAAAAATACAAAAATTAGCGGTCATGGTGGTGCGCGCCTGTAATCCCAGCTACTCTGGAGGCTGAGAACGGAGAATCCCTTAGAGGAGGCAGAGGTTGCAGTGAGCAGAGATCGCGCCACTGCACTCCAGCCTGGGCAACAGATGGAGACCCTGACTCAAAAAAAAAAAAAAAAAAAAACACAAAGGAAATCAGCCACGACTCGGATTTTTAATGCTAACAAGACGTTTTGCTTTCTAAATGCACACACTTTAAATACAAGGGTGTGAGGATAGGTATTTTCACAATGTAAGTGGTGTTATGACAATAATTACAAGAGCTTAATAGTGGAAAACTACGTTTAACTTGACATCGCTAGCAGCCAGCAGTCTAGCACATTATAGGTACTAACAATGTTGTTTTAAATAATTTCCCAAGTCAAAAAATTCCCTTCCAACAACATAATATACTCACCTCCATAAAAAAAAAAAAAAAAAAAAAAAAAAAAAAAAAAAAAAAAAAACAGGAAAAAATTCATAATACAGTCATAAACTCTTCATAGATCAAAAAAGCATTCAATTATTATGCTCGAAATAGACTTACTGGGTCTAAATTCACTTGTTTCATTTTTGTATTACTACCCTGGTGGCGATTTCACTTTTCATCATTAAGGACGTCCCCAAACTCAAGGACGTAAGCTTTCAATATTCGGATAACCAGTGCAGACGCAGCTGGCGCGGATGCCAGCAGTGCCTGCCCACGTGAGCAAGGCGACGGTCCCCCGAAGCGGCTACAGCGCATGCCCGAAGTGGGTGAGGCGGAGGCGCGGGCTTAGCTCCTGGGGTCTCGGCCAAGGTCGGCTGTACCTGGACCCTGGGGCGGCTTGGGCAGTTGTTGGACGTGACCGCGTTCAACTGCGTCGGGCTCGCTTCCCAGACTTGCCCAAGTTCCGGTGTCCTAGCTGTCCCTTTGCAGCCGCAGGCCTGCCCCGGCCGCGTGGGAGGAGTCTGTGACGGGTGGTGGGCAGAGCTCGCCAGCGCCGGGACCGCTGGTTGGCTGCGTCCGCTTCCTTTTTCCCCTTCCTGGTGTCCGGCTTCAGGCGCGGAGCAGCAGGCAGCTAGCCAGCCGGGAGCCGGCCCTCACAGTCGGCTGGGTTGCGCTTTGCTTTTGCAGTGAGGCATTGACCTGCCCATATGACTTGGCGCTCTCCACCAGCAGGAATTTCCGGAAGGAGTTTGAATTTTTGTGATTTTTTTGGAATATTTGGTTGGTGGAATATGTTGGCATTTATGTTTGCTTCTAAATAAGCGTCTTGCTCACAGGGTAGATGACTTTCTCTCCGAAACGCTAAATATTCTCTCCCGCAGGAGCGCAAATCCTTGTTTTTCATGACAGATCTCGACGACAATATATGCAAAAGATACATAAAGATGATAACTAATATAGTTGTATTGAGCCTGATCATTTGCATTTCCTTAGCGTTCTGGATTATGTCAATGACTGCAAGCACCTACTATGGTAAGTATGAATGTCCTAAGTTGTTTCTCTGTAATCAGTGAAATTAAAAACCATACCACTGTGAAATCCAAAACTCATATCATCTGATGGTTATGAATGGTTGTGTTAACTTACATAGCCTGAATTTAACTTACTAATGTGATAATATAAATAGTGCCTTTAATAAATGCTTGTTGTGATAATTCGAGTTATACCTATTAATTTTTTTAATTGTTACTTTTTATAAGATGGGGTCTCTCTGTGTTGCCAGGCTGATCTCAAACCCTTAGGCTCAAGTGATCCTCCCACTTGGTTCTTCCAAAGTGCTAGGAATACAAGCCACTAGATCTGGCCTAGTTATGCCTACTTCAAAATGTCTTTATATATTGTGTAACTATTCCATCTGCCTTGGTGAAAGGTAAGTGAGGTGAACATAGCTTTGTAAAGCAATTACAGTTATGCTTTTAATTTTGAAAAAGAATACTAGTAATGGACGGGGCCTGGTAGCGCACACCTATAATCCCAATACTTTGGGAGGCCGAGGTGGGGCAGATTACCTGAGTTTAGGAGTTCGAGACCATCCTGGCCAACATGGTGAAACCCTGTCCGTACTAAAAATACAAAACTAACTGGGCGTGGTGGCACATGCCTGTAATCCCAGCTACTCGGGAGGCCGAGGCAGGAGACTCACTTGAACCCTGGAGGCAGGGGTTGCAGTGAGCCAAGATCATGACACTGCACTTCAGCCTGGGCAACAGAGCAAGACTCCTTTTCAAAAAAAAAAAAAAAAGAGAGAAAGAGAGTATTAGTAATGGTTTCACATGTTCTGTAAAAATAATAAGAATTAAAGATGGTACAATATTTACATTTGGAGAGCTGACTTACCTGCCATTTGGTTGCTTTAAAAGAATAGACTCCTTTTAAAGCCTAAAGCTGCATTGCTTAAATATAAAGTACTCTGAACTCAGATCTTTAAGCTTTTGAAGGTGCTTTAGAGCATAAGTTTGTACACAAACTTCCTTCTCCTATAAAAACAAAATACTGGTCAGTTCACAGCAAAGGAAAAACTGAAAAGGAGAATGAGAAAGTGAACTCTCTTAAATGGTTATATCATAAGGGATTGCCATTTCAGACTGTAGTCTTTTTTTTTTTTTTTTTTTTTTTGAGACGGAGTTTTGCTCTTGTTACCCAGGCTGGAGTGCAATGGCACGATCTCGGCTCACCGCAACCTCCGCCTCCTGGGTTCAAGCAGTTCTCCTGCCTCAGCCTCCCGAGTAGCTGGGATTATAGGCATGCACTACCATGCCCAGCTAATTTTTTTTTTGGTATTTTTAGTAGAGATACGGTTTCACCGTGTTGACCAGGATGGTCTAGATCTCTTGACCTCATGATCCACCCGCCTCAGCCTCCCAAAGTGCTGGGATTACAGGCGTGAGCCACTGCGCCCAGCCTCAGACTGTAGTCTTTGCAAAGAGACACATGAATAATTGGAAAGGGTTTTTTCAGGTACAGAAGCTCTCAGGGCTGTTCATTCATAAAAATTCACAGTGGGAGATCTGAGTTTTAGGGGAGGGGTATAAGAGAAGATTCTTGTTAGTTCCACTATTTACTATGACTTGAACTAAATAGAATAAATCAGGATTTGTAAACTGAAGTATCCTTCTGGGGCCAGTCACCTAATACAAATGAATGAAACTGCAAGTTTTTGTGTATTAGACATGTGGTAATTGTTTTCACTTCCAGAAATAGGATATTTCTCATCTTTTGTTGAATACTTGGCCTTCCTTGTCTTTTAGTTTTCCTTTTTTTTTTTTTGCGACAGAGTTGCTCTTGTTGCCCAGGCTGGAGTGCAGTGGTGAGATCTTGGCCCATTTGCAACCTCTGCCTTCCAGTTTCAAGTGATTCTCTTGCCTCAGCCTCCCAAGTAGCTGGGATTGCAGGCACTTGCCACCATGCCTAGCTAATTTTTGTATTTTTAGTAGACATGGGGTTTCACCATGTTGGCCAGGTTGGTCTCAAACTCCTGACCCGTGAGCCACCAAGCCCTTGCCTGTTTTCCCATTTTTGATAGAAACAGATACAAGCAGCAGTTCACAGTTTTCTTTACCATAAGGAAATCACTTAGCCTTGGCATTTAGGAGTCTATCAGTAGTGATGGGAACTTTAAACGGGAAAGCTATGGCCTGTTTAAAGGAAGGGACCTTTCTTTACCTTTAGTCAATTCTGCCATGTGGGCCAGAACTTGTCAATTTTAGAAGCCAAGAATCTGGATTTTTATATGATATCTCCTACTCTTTAAATATTGACTCATTCTGCTAGCCAATTGTCTGTGAGCTGGATACAGCCTTTGAAATAATCAATTTCTTTTTTTTTTTCTTTTGAGACGGAGTTTCACTCTTGTTACCCAGGCTGGAGCGCAATGGCGCGATCTCGGCTCACCGGCAACCTCCGCCTCCTGGGTTCAGGCAATTCTCCTGCCTCAGCCTCCTGAGTAGCTGGGATTACAGGCACGTGCTACCATGTCCAGCTAATTTTTTGTTTTTTTAGTAGAGACGGGGTTTCACCATGTTGACCAGAATGGTCTCGATCTCTTGACCTCGTGATCCACCCGCCTCGGCCTCCCAAAGTGCTGGGATTACAGGCTTGAGCCACCTGAAATAATCAATTTTTAACCATTGAATCAGGCGTGCTCTGAAAGGCAGAGAGAGGAATAAGATACTATTAAAAAAAGAGTTTGTTCTAGGTAGTCCTTGAAATTTAATATGTTCACCCTTTAAAAAAAAGAACCAGAGATTCATTTCAAATATTTAGATATCCATTATTATTATAAATAGCAGTAAAAGATTTTTTAAACTTGTACATAATTTATTTGGCCATTCCCCAATAAGACTGCTTCTCTGAAAATATGCATGCATGTCTTACCATAAATACAGTTATGCTCCACATAACAATGTTTTGGTCAATGATGGACCACACATGCAACGTTTTCCCATAAGATTATACCATATATTTACTGTACTTTTTCTATATTTAGATACACAAATACCATTCTGTTATAATTGCCTGCAGTATTCAGTACAGTAACATGCTATACAGGTTTGTAGCCTACAACAATAAGCTATAGAATATAGCTTAAGTGTATAGTAAGCCCTACCATCTAGGTTTTTGTAAGTACAGTCTGTGATGTTTGCATAACCATGAAATCACCTAAGGATGTATTTCTCAAAATATATCCCTGTCTTTAAGTGATGCATGACTGTATTTGTCTTTGGTGACTTCATCTCAGTGTTTGTACTTATGACAGTATTTTAATCCAAAAGCAGTTACAGAAGTTAACTGCCAAAACTAACCTGTGCAGACTTCACACAATTTGTGCTCCACCTTTATAATTTTTCAGGTAACTTACGGCCTATTTCTCCATGGCGTTGGCTGTTTTCTGTTGTTGTTCCTGTTCTGATCGTCTCTAATGGCCTCAAAAAGAAAAGTCTAGATCACAGTGGGGCTCTAGGAGGTATGTTTTTATTTTGAATGTTTACAGTAACTAATAAATGCTTGCTTATATAATTTAAATTTATGTTTTCTAAATTCTGAATATATGAGACTGACTAAAAATCATAGTGTTATATATTTTAGACAATGATAAAGTTTTATCTTGCTCAGCATTCCTTTTATCAAAATTTCAGAAACTAATGTACACTTGCAGTGTAACATACAAATTAAACTTTGTAATTGATACAAAGTAGATTAATGGGGATAGATGAACTTTGACTATTCTGCTCCTTTAGTTTGATTAATTTAGCAGAAACCCTGGAGCACTCCTCCTAGATGTAAAATAAAGCATTTCAAGAGAATAACTCTTGGAAATTGCTGTTAGTAATTTCCTCAAACAGAGCAGTCCAAACTTAGTGTTCTAGATTAATTTTCCAAAACTGAGTTGGGAACAGGCCATGTATTCATTCTTTTTGTAATTTTTTTTTTTTGAGACAGTCTTGGTTTATTGTCCAGGCTGGTGTGTGGTAGCACGATCAGCTCACTGCAACCTCCTCCTCCTGGATTCAAGTGATTCTGGTGCCTCAGCCTCGGAGTAGCTGAGACTATAGGTGTGTGCCACCATGATCAGCTAATTTTTTCTGGTATCTTTATTAGAGATGGGGTTTCACCATATTGGTCAGGGTGGTCTCAAACTCCTGGCCTCAAGTGATCACCCGCCTGGGCCTCCCAAGATGCTGGGATTACAGGTGTGAGCCACCATGCCTGACCCATCTTTTAGCAAACTTTTATTGAACACTTACTACTATGTACCACTGTTCTAGAAACTTGGAATATATCTGTAAACAAAAAGGACATGGTGTCATTTCTCATGGCACTTATATTCTTTAGGGCAGACAGTAAATAAAATAGATATAACTATTCAGGTATTCATAAAGTTTATGACAAAAATATTAAAAGATAATTAAGTGTAAAGTGCATATGTTGGAAGATGTGGTGCATTCTTCTATAGATGGTGTCAGGTGCTTTTCTCTAAGAAGGTCATTTTACACTGGTATCTGAAGAAACTAGCAATGAGGTCTGACAGAATCATGTTCCAGGCTGACAGAATAACAGGTGCAAAAGTCCAGATATCTGTAATCCTGGCTTATTTGAGAGTAAGAAGAGTAAGGCTCATTTGACTAGAAAATAATAACAATAGGAAAAGAAGTGAGAGATAAAATTGAATAAATAAGCTCTAGCAATGTGCTTTCATGGTCCTGTGGTTTTGTCAGTTTCACAAAGGTCAAAACTTTTGTACTCTTTTTCTTAAAGAGGGAACCCCAAATTATATAAGCTTTGAGCTCCACAAAGCCTGGGTCTATCCCTTATTTCATTTTTAGGGCATAGAGAGAATTAAATGAGATAATTTAAAGTTCTTACCTCATTGGCTGGATGCATAGCCAACATTTATTCAGTGCTTATTATTATTAGGCAGAGTTCTTCAAAATCATGCCAATTCTACTCATAATTAAGAAATATTGTTTAAGTTCTATTTTGAGATTTCTTTTTTTTGTGGGGTAGTTGAGAATTAAAGTTAACTAGACATACTGATATCTTTATATGAATTTTATTTTACCATATAATCAGTAAGTATTAGGAATGGTTATGTTTTACCTATTTAACAAATGCTATGTCACACTTACTATATACCAGGCTGTTATTACTTTGGTAGTATTAATTCATTTATAACGTAATTTGAACAATCCCTGCTTGAATATAATAATAAGGAGTTACGTTTGCTAAAAGACAGTTCTTTCTGGGCTGGTCAGGTGACTCACACCTGTAATCCCAGCACTTTGGGAGGCCAAGGCAGAAGGATCACTTGAGTCCAAGAATTTGAGACCAGCCTGGGCAATATAAATGAGACCTCGCATGATGGTGCACGCCTGTAGTCTCAACTACACAGGAGGCTGATCGTGCCACTGCACCCAGCTTGGGCAATAGAGTAAGACCCTGTCTCAAAAAGAAAAAAAAAAAAGCCACTCTCAGATATCCTTGCCTTACAATTTATTATTCTTATAGAAAGAAAGGTCAAGTCCTTCTTGAAATTCTGTCTGCCTTTGGCTTCTGTGCTGTATATTTTCCTGCTTCTCTGTCTTTTATGATCTCTACTGTTGTTTCTTTCCTGCTGCAGTTTCCTCTCCTGCCTTCTAGCCCTTGGGCCTCTACTCCTCCCCTATATTGATTTAGAATTAAAAAATATGTATTTGGAACCTAATACTGCTACCTGTTATCAGTGAAAACTTGGACAAGCCACGTAACTCCTAGGAGCCTCACTGTCTTAATCTCTTAGGGAATATCTCCAATAGTAATACCTTATGGGCTTATTGATGAAGCTCAAACAAGATATTATATGAGGCATCACATCTTTGTAAACTATACAAAAATATTAATTGTTAGTTATTATGTACTTTCAACCATATTTTTATACGTGAATGACTATTAAATTGGCATTGCCACAAACATTTATTTCTTTGTATCTCTGCTCATATTACTCCTCCCCCTCTGAACTCTCTCCTACCTCATTATATATGCTGATTATTGTTATCATCTGCATTAATAGAGAAATACGTATCCAGGTTTGAAGGATTAATAGACAGTTCTGGGCAGAAAACAATGAAAACTGCCGAAAATTGAAACTAACACTTGCAGAGTAAAATTAAATGAAGTATTCCCGCTTAGAAAGTTTCTGGTTCTAGGCTTCTTAGTGCTTAATCAAGTATTCTTATTGAATAGGATTCAAATCTAATAAAGTCATTTCTTTGCTGCTAGCCCTAATAAATGAAAATGATCAAATGTAGTAGCAGATGGAAGCAAGTCATTAACTTGCTTTCAGTAGTAACTGATAGTTCTAAAGTCAGGTAGCAAAAATATAATATGTGTGTTTCTAAAAATTATCCTGGTGGTATAATATGCTACTTGATCTCCTTGACCATAAAGGACATCTACTAGATTATAAACTCCTTGAGGACAAAGAGTATTTAATGCTTCTGTGTTCCATGTTTCTTTGAATAGTGCTAGATACATAATAGATGATTAAGAATATATGTTTGATTTTTTAAAACCTTTACTTTTTTCCTAATTATCTCATTCTATAAAATGTTTATCTTATTTTTTTCTTTTTTTTTTTTTTTTTAATTTATGGCCAGCTACAGTGGCTCACACCTGTAATTCCAACATTTAAGGAGGCCAAAACAGACAGATTGCTTGAGCCCAGGAGTTGCAGCCCAGCCTGGGCAACATGGTGAAACCTGTCTCTGCTAAAAATTAGCCAGGCATGATGGCAGGTGCTGTAATCCCAGCTACTTGGGAGGCTGAGGCAGGAGAATCACTTGAACCCAGGAGGCGGAGGCTGTAGTGAGCTGAGATTATGCCACTGCACTTGAACATGAGTGACAGAGTGAGACCCTGCCTCCCCCAAAAAAAATTTTTTTAGAGGCATGGTCTTGCTCTATCACCCAGGCTGTAGTGCAGCAATGCAATCATAGCTTAGTGCAGCCTTGAATTCCTGGGCTCAAGCAATCTGCCTGCCTCAGCCTCCTGGGTATTTGGGACTACAAGAGCACACCATCACATCCAGCTTTTCTTACTATTTGGAACTTTTTGTTTCCTTAAAGATAAAAAAAAAAAAAGAAAGAAAGAAAAAACTAAGGCTGATTTAAAGTATATCATAGTAGTTGGGAATATTAGCCTAGAGCAGGCATCCCCAAACTTTTTACACAGGGGGCCAGTTCACTGTCCCTCAGACCGTTGGAGGGCCGCCACATACTGTGCTCCTCTCATTGACCACCAGTGAAAGAGGTGCCCCTTCCTGAAGTGTGGCCGGGGGCTGGATAAATGGCCTCAGGGGGCCGCATGCGGCCCACGGGCTGTAGTTTGGGGACGCCTGGCCTAGAGTATGACTGCAAGTCACTGAAACTCTCAGTGTTGTACTTATCCTGTCTATAAATTGCGAAGGAATAATGGTATCTATAGCAATGAATTATCATGAAGTGTTATCCATGTAAAATGCTTAGCACAATACCTGGCATATAAATATTTTATAGATATTAGTTATTATTACTGTTTTCCTTCCACTACTACCATTCACAGTGATACAGTCTGACCGCTGTGTCCTCAACCAAATCTCATCTTGAATTGTAGATCCCATAATTCCCATGTGTCATGGGAGGGACCTGGTGGAAGGTAATTGAATCATGGGAGCAGGTTCTCATGATATTGAATAAGTCTCACAAGATCTGATGGTTTTATAAACGGGAGTTCCCCTATACAGGCCCTCTTGCCTGCCGCTAGGTAAGACATGACTTTGCTCCTCATTTGCCTTTAGCCATAATTGTTAGGCCTCACTAGCCATGTGAAACTGTGCATCAATTAAACCTCTCTTCTTTATAAATTACCCAGTTTCAGGTTTGTCTTTATTACCAGCCTGACAATGGACTAATACAAAGGAATTTTACTTTGACCCAACATGACTTTAGTGTGTGTAGGATTGAGAAGTAAGAATTACCGAACTTCCTCAGGATCCGGGTATTTAGAACCCTTCATGACAGAAACATGTACCCAGTGTTGAGAGGAATGGGCAGGGTTCAGTCACATTCAGTCCCTAAGCTGCACACTGAAGTAGAGGGCTCTGGTCTCTTGGAGAGAGAGAGAGCATTGCCAGAATAAGGAGAGGGTCACATGAAGGGGATTTGTGGGAAAGTGTTTGTGTAAGAGCACAGCAAGAGGGGGTGTTGTCAGGAAGGGCCAGTGGTGGCACGCTGTGTGGTTTCACAAGGGGGGTTACTATAATTCAGGTCTGGTTTCAGTCTTTCTGAAGTAGAAACCTCACTCTGTCATGTATGCAGAGTTGATTAGTGCCTGGAAAACTGGTTGAATGTTGCTCATTGTCATAAAGGATTGATATATGACCCAGAATGCCACTTTATTAATCAGGCAGAAGAACACAAACCTCACTGTTCGGGCATGCCCTATGCTTGTTTTCAGGCCACTTGAGAAATCAGATTATAATTAGAAGGCTGCTTTGGTGAGTACAAAGTCTGAGAAAGAGTAATGCAAGTCCACAGTTCAAAGGTTCTTCTTTGGTTATGGTTCAAGAAGTCTACCAGCCTCTGGTTCTTTGGGCCTTCACTTTATACATTTCGGGCTAGCCAATTAAATTATTATAGAATACGTATGAAACAATAGCTTAGTTTTGAGTTTATTAAATTGCTATGAAATTCCAGTCCTGCTCTTCTCTTTTATGCCTCCTGGAGATTACCCAGGTCAACCTGGTTGGAATTTGGAGTGTAACTCAACTCCCATTGTCAGAAATTTGTAGACAGTGTCATTTTACTCCCCTGATGGTATCTGTTAGGTACAAAATTTATCTGTTTTAGGCTCAGAAAGGCAAACATAATCCTCGAGTCTTCAAATTATTTGGGAGTACCCTATTGTCATATATATGAACACTTTATCAATGATATTTAGGGATCTGCAGGATGGAGAAGTGGAAAAGATACGAACAGGAGATAACAGTTACTAGTCTAAAAATGTAGACATAGGTGGGAGTTGCCAGAAGTTCCAAGCTATCTTTAGACTGCATGAAAGAAGCCATTCCTTCAAAGCTTTTTGTCTTCTTCATTTCCTCAATGTGAAGCTGTCATCAGCTGAACATTGATCACTTCATGTGGTATTCTAAGGTGGTCGAAGTAAATAGATGTCATTTGTAACATCTGGGTGTAGGTTGTTTAGGGTTATCCTACTCGGGATTTGTTTAGAGATGGTGGAACAACTGTTAACAGTGGATAGTCATGAAGAGGAGGAGGGGAGACACTTTGACTTTCAGTTTGCATACTTCCATGTTTTGACTTTCCCTTCAATACTTGCATACAACTTTTGTAATGTTTTAAAAATCAATGGAAAAAACTTAAAGGTTGGATAACAATATTATAATATTTATCAGTATTACTGTTAAGCTTTTGCCACTGGAACTGTTACTGTTGTTAGTATCAATGCCATTAGGTAACACTTTCTAAGGAGCTTTTACTGGATAATATAATAAGCATATTACAAAATGTGTTTATTAATATATTTATATAATAAGCATATACAAAATATGCTCCTGGATAATATAGTAAGCATATTATCAAAATTATCCCTGACTTTTTACAGCAAGCCAGTGAAGTAGGAATTATGATTATTCTTATTTTACCAATGCAAAATTGGTGGAGGAGGTTAGATAACTTATCCTAATCTTGAAGAGGTAGGTGGAGGAGCCAAAGTTTGAACTCTAGACTGTTCAACTCCAGAGCTGAAGCACTTTATTATTATTAATACTTTTTACCAAGTTACCCTATTTCTTGTACTCTCAATTAAAAGGTACCAAAGTTAAATACCAGTAATAGAGCATCTCTGGAAGAGTCAATGAATAACTATCTCATTGATTATGATATCTGAACCTTGAGCTAAGCAATGGAAAGGGTTATTATAGCAAAAGGAGGCCACGTGCAGTGGCTCACTCCTGCAATCCTAGCACTTTAGGAGGCCAATACTGGGAAGATCGCTTGAGCTGAGGAGTTTGAGACCAGCCTGGGCAACATTGTGAGACACCATCTCTATTTCTAATTTTTTAAAATTAAGATGATTTTTAAAGATTATCTAAAATAATATCTTACATTCATATGGCATTGTTTGAAAGGAGATTAAAATATAGTAAAAAAATGTAATCAAAATGGCATTCAGTTTACTGCTTGCTAAGAGCTTAATTGGTAAAATGCAAATTGTTAGAAATGTACATTTCAGATTATAATATAAAAATAACTGGGAAAATGGCTGGATGTGGTACCTAACACCTGTAACCCCAGCACTTTGGGAGGCTGAGGTAGGACAGATCACCTGAGGTCGGGAGTTCGAGACCACAGCCTGACCAACATGGAGAAACCCCGTCTCTACTGAAAATATGAAATTATCCAGGTGTGGTAGCACATGCCTGTAATGCCAGTTACTCGGGAGGCTGAGGCAGGAGAATCACTTGAACCTGGAGGCAGAGGTTGCAGTGAGCCAAGATTGCGCCATTGCACTCTAGCCTGGGCAACAAGAGCGAAACTCCATCTCATAAATAAATAAATGGGAAGAAATCTATTTTTTTTTTCACAGAATTAATGTATGAATTGAGTATAATTCTTTGTTTATATATGTTTCTTTCAGGGCTAGTGGTTGGATTTATCCTAACCATTGCAAATTTTAGCTTTTTTACCTCTTTGCTGATGTTTTTTCTGTCTTCTTCGAAACTCACTAAATGGAAGGGAGAAACAAAGAAGCGCCTAGATTCAGAATATAAGGAAGGTAATATTAATTATGTTTGGTATTAATCAGAATAGTACACTTCATTTCATGCTAACATAAGCTTTTAATCAGAATGCTGTTTAGACTGTCAAAACACATCAGTTTTATATGAGAATTCCTTATGGTAGCCAAAGCGAGTTTATCATTTATTTCACAACAATAGGAAATAACAGCAGAATATTAGAAGCACTAGAGTCTGTCATAATTTTTCCAGATTTGTTAATAACAGTATAGAATCTGGGCAAATGTACCATTCTACTTTTACTATTTTTAAAATGTTTGTTGTTGTTTTTCTTGTCTTAAACTTTAAAACATAAACACCTATAACTGCATGGTTTTTCTTCTAAGGAGAAAGCATTTATTTGTCCTTTTTTTATCTGTTTGTTTCCAGGTGGGCAAAGGAATTGGGTTCAGGTATTCTGTAATGGAGCTGTACCCACAGAGCTGGCCCTGCTATACATGATAGAAAATGGCCCTGGGGAAATCCCAGTTGATTTTTCCAAGCAGTACTCTGCTTCGTGGATGTGTTTGTCTCTCTTGGCTGCATTGGCCTGCTGTGCTGGAGACACATGGGCTTCAGAAGTTGGCACGGTTCTGAGTAAAAGTCCTCCAAGGCTGATAACAACCTGGGAGAAAGTTCCAGTTGGTGAGTCCTTTTTTTCTTTTTGACCCATTGGTAGACATAGTTGGTGAGTCTTGACTTGGGATTCTTTTAAAAAACAAACCAAAAAACCTCTTGATTTAATGTATTTCTTATTTTAGAGCCTTTTAAGAACTTTATTTAGTCTCTTTAAATAATAATTGGAAAATTTCTGTAGACTATTAAGCTGGTAATAATAAATAATCTTTGCAGGAAATGTTAGCAAGACCTAGATAAGCAATACAGGAACATAGAGATTAATTTGCAAACATATGAGTAGGGAAGGAAAAGAGAGGGAACAATAGAATATTTATTGAGGGCCTGTTATGATATCAGTGCTTTAACCTATATCTCAGTTCTCCATTATCAACATTGTCAACAACTATATAGGTTGAGCATCTCAAATCTGAACATCCAAAATCCAAAATGCTCCAAAACCTTAAATTCTTTGATATGATGCTCAGAGGAAATGTTAATTGGAGCATTTCAGATTTATGATTTTGAGATTTGGGGGTGCTCAACTGGTAAGTCTGTATAATGCAAATATTCCAAATCTGAAAAAATTCAAAATCCAAAACACTTCTGGTCCCAAGCAATTTGGGTAAAGAAAATACTCAACCTGTACCGTTTCTTCTTTTTGTCCTCTGATGCTTCCCTTCCTCTCCTCCCCTTCTTTTCTTTCTCCCCCCATCTTATCCTCCATCGTCGCCTTCTCCTCCTCGTCTTTTATCTCCTCTTCTTCATCATCATTATAACAGCTAGCACATTTTAAATACCTACTGCAGAGCACTATTCTAACTGCTTTACATGGATTGCCACTTAGTACTCCTAATAATCATATGAATTAGGTTTTTTTAAATTTCTATTTTATAAAGAAACTAAAGCCCAAAGAAGTTAAAGAAATTAACTACAGTCATATGGCTTAAGAGTTGCAGAATTGGGCCTGGCAAGGTGGCCCATGCCTGCCATCCCAGCTACTAGAGAGGCTGAGGTGGGAGGATCACTTGAGCCCAGGGTTGGAGGCTGCTGTAAGCTATGATCACACCATTTTACTCTAGTCTGGTTGACAGGGCAAAACCTTGTCTCTAAAAAGAGAGAGTAAGAGAGGGAGAGTAGCAGGACCAAGACTGAAACCAGGCAGTCTGGCTTCATCGAACCATTCTGCTTCACTGCTTAAAATATCAAGAGTTACTGAGGACAAAATACTGTTTTCTGAGTAGGCTACAGTCCTTAGATTGCATTAAAGAGAATGCTTCCTTTAAATTAGTCTTGATTGGATAGGCACTTTGCTGTCCCTGACTTTATGTGTTTTGCTGGTTATTAACCAGATGATTTTCTGCATATTTCTTCTTCAGGAACCAATGGAGGAGTTACAGTGGTGGGCCTTGTCTCCAGTCTCCTTGGTGGTACCTTTGTGGGCATTGCATACTTCCTCACACAGCTGGTTTTTGTGAATGATTTAGACATTTCTGCTCCCCAGTGGCCAATTATTGCATTTGGTGGTTTAGCTGGATTACTAGGATCAATTATAGACTCATATTTAGGGGCTACAATGCAGTATACTGGTAAGAACATTCCTTCATTCTTGCAACTTATTAGTGTGTTGAAGAAATAGAGAAGAAATAGAGAAAAGAAAGAAAAAATGTCAACAATGAAAACAAATCCAAAGACACAGGATGTTGACAGACCAGAAATGATAGGACAGAGTCTTTTCCACAGTTTTAGCTTTCTTATACTTTTGTATTAAATTAATTGAAAGAGAATTAGTCTTGCATAGCAATGATTAGAAGCTGTGTGGGAAAGATACAATAGCGCAGAAAACAGATGCTTTTGTGTGGGCCATTACCTAATCCTAGGAAAGCAAGACATTTGGGATCAGATCATTTTAATACAATTCCTTCCGTTCATTTCCCCAGTCCATTTGAGGGATAACTGTACTAATCTGACTATACACACAAACTACTTTATTACTGTGATATGCTTGCTATCCTTGCCGCTGAGTTTTTTGCCTCACTCAGGATATATGGTAGATGGCTGGGTGCAGTGGCTCATGCCTGTAATTCCAGCACTTTGGGAGGCTGAGGCAGGCGGATCACTTGAGGTCAGGAGTTCCAGACCAGCCTGGCCAACATGGTGAAACCCATCTCTACTAAAAATACAAAAATTGCCAGGCGTGGTGGTGCCTTGCCTGTAATTCCAGCTACTCAGGAGGCTGAGGCAGAAGAATTGATTGAACCTGGGAGGCAGAGGTTGCAGTGAGCCAAGATCATGCCACTGCACTTTTGCCTGAGCGATAGACCAATATTCCATCTCAAAAACAAACAAACAAACTATATGTGTGTATATATATATATATATATATATATATATATATATATGAGTGGTAGAGTATGTTTTTCTCAAAATTTTCTGTGCTTTGCTTCTAAGGCTTTCTCATCCTATCAGTGTACTGACATATTCTGTTAGGTGTGTATTTACACTCTCATCAACCATGTTTCTCCTTTGATTGACATCAGGAAGAGGTTGAAAGGCTAGAGAAGGGTTCTCTCAGTACGGTCCTCTCAGTACTCTTCATGCCTCAGGAAATATATTTGCCCTTCCTCCCCTCTCTCCATCAGTCAGAATATTTGTTCTCAGTGTTGTTAGTCTCATTTAGATTTTAAGGATGAAGCAATCTGATCTTAATTTCCACTAAAGGGTAAATAACTCTACACATACACACAAACAGTAACACATGTTTTTTAAAGACTGCAGGTTTTATTCTAAATTGTTTTCTAGTTGGGGACGTTTCTGATTGCATTGAGTGGGTTGAAAAGAAATGCATGCAGTAGGGGAGATTCTGTAAATCTTCGTGTGCCTCCTTTGTGCCAGCCCCATGCTCAACCCTGTGTTTACAGTGCTGTGGCCACAGACATGATCCCTATGCTCAAGGACATCATAGATCAGTCTTGGAGGGGAGCCACTGGAAAGGCAGGCCCAACCTGCCAGTTTCATGCCCTCTCTGATTTTCATGTTCTTTCTTTCACTTCTGAAGCAACTCCAGAGGTATGGACAGAAAATTACTGAGGTGTACTGAAACCCATTTATTCAAAGAGGCCATTTGTAATCAAGGGTTCTGTATCTCTCATCATATAAATTATCCATTAAAGTCGTTTAGCAGGTCACTTAGAACCTTTCAAAGATAGTATGCTTTGGAGGAAAAATCTATTTTGTTCTTTTTTTAAAATCAAGTAATTTGGGTTTTCTACCTCACTTGTTTCTTTTTCCATTTCAGGGTTGGATGAAAGCACCGGCATGGTGGTGAACAGCCCAACAAATGAGGCAAAGCACATAGCGGGGAAGCCCATTCTTGATAACAATGCAGTGAATCTGTTTACTTCTGTTCTTGTTGCTCTCTTGCTCCCAACTGCTGCTTGTGGTTTTTGGCCCAGGGAGTGAACTTTATTTCATTCCCACAGGTTGAAACTGGTGAGTCCAGCTAAACTTGCAATTCCAGCTTTCATCCTAAGAATACTAATTGTAATGGCAAAGCAGAAATGCCAGCTCTTCCTATGTTCCATTGTGATGGGATTTCACATTTTCCTTTCATCAACTCTCCTGTCATAGCTAGCATCTTTCTAGTGAAAAAGAAAGGTTCATAGATTTGTGCATTTTTTTCTCCTGAATGGAGGTCTTGAGCAATGAAGCTATATTGTTCCTACATATTGCTATATATTGAATTGAAAGTTCTATATAGTCAATGTCAAATTTTGTCTTATTTTGTTTTGTATGTTGAAACCAGTGTAGGGAATAAAAGTGATGATATTTAAAATAGTTCTCCATTGAAGAAGAGAAATGCCACTAGTGCTAGTTGCCCAAATGTTGTGTCTGTTTTACATAGTTTAAGCTGATGTGTATGGACGCCTAACTAAGTATAATATCCTGAACTTCTCCCATTACATTGCTATTTACAATTGGGAAAAGTGTGAGGATTGGTTCCTAGTGAGTTTTGTGGCCTAGTCCACATTTGTTCTTCCTTCCTCAGGGTTAGCGATGAAAAAAACTAGATATCTTTTTCATATGACCATTACAATGTGTGAAAAAGTTATTTTAACTAAAAGGAAAAGAACTCTATCTTATATCTAAAAAATCTGCACCTTATTATATGTTTCAGTTGCTCTCTGAACAGAAATTATTTTCAATGTAGTATGTTGAATGTATTTTCTAGCTTTCTTTGAATTATGTTTGGCATCCTGGCTTAGCACTGGCATCCTGAACAGTTAAGAGTCACTGGGAAATTACTGTATTTCTTTATAAATTTACTATCATACAAATTACTTGAAAATGCTATGATTTTCTATTATTACCTTCTAAGTGTATTCCGTCTTACACTGTAGCCTCAACTAAAGCAAATTCTGCTTTTCAGTTTTGTTCCTTACTATGATTTACTGTGTGCCAAAGGAGTTTTGACATGGTACAGATTATTTTACTAAAAGTATTTTAAAATGTTTCTCATGTGATTTCTGCACCTTCTTCCTCCTGCCCCTTTTGCTCTTTTAAAGAAATTGGGGAAGGATTTATGAACACATCACCACCAGAGTGTGAGTAATGCTTAGAATTCTTTATTGGTGGTCCTACGATAGTGATGACCTAGAACTGACTTAGTTCAGGACAGAAAACAAAACAATCACACCCTTAATTTTGAAGCCAGTCAGATTAGGGAGTTGCAACAATCGGCCTAGAATTTTGGGTATACATTGGAAGCACCAGGGCATGTTTGCTTTGTTTGTTTGTTGAGACAGAGTCTCACTCTGTGGCCCAGGCTGGACTCCAGCACAGTGGCTTAATCTTGGCTGACTGTATCCTCCACCTCCCAGGTTCAGGCAATTCTCTTGCCTCAGCTACCCAAGTAGCTGGGATCACAGGCGTGCACTACCACCCCCAGCTAATGTTTGTGTTTTTAGTAGAGGCAGGGTTTCACCATGTTGGCTAGGCTAGTCTCGAACTCCTGGCCCCAAGTGATCTGTCCCTCAGCCTCCCAAAGAGCTATTACAGATGTGAGCCACTGTGCCCAGCCACCAGGTCATGTTTTTAAAAAAGTACTGGTGTCTCGGTTTCACACTGCAGAAATCTGATCTATCTGATCTAAGGTACAGCACTGATATTAGGACTTTTTAAAGCTCTGACTATATGTTAGAATCATCATGTAAGGATTTTTTAAAACACTGTTGTAAGGGCCCCTTTCTAGACCAAGTCAGTCAGAATGTTGGACAATGAGGCCCTTGCATGTGTATTTTTACAAAGCTCTCTGGGAGATTCTAATGCTTAACCACGTTGAGAAACACTGAATAAGAATATCCTGGACAGGGCACAGTGGCTCACACCTGTAATCCCAGCACTTTGGAGAGCCAAGGCAGGTGGATCACTTGAGATTAGGAGTTCGAGGCTAGCCTGGCCAACATGGTGAAACACTGTCTCTACTAAAAATACAAAAAATTTGCCAGGCTTGGTGGCATGTGCCTGTAATCCCAGCTACTTGGGAGGCTGAGGCAGGAGAATCACTGGAACCCAGGAGGTGGGGATTGCAGTGAACCGAGATGGCACCACCACCCTCCAGTCTGGGCAACAGAGCAAGACTCTATCTCAAAAAAAAAAATATATATATATATATGTGTATATATATATATATATATATATATATATATATATATTCATATTCTAAGCACTAGAACTACTAAATAAGAATATCCTACAGCACTGTATCTAAGCACTTTAAAAGAGTGGGACTTTTCAATTTTAGGGAAATAACTATTAGCAACAACACAGCATGTTATCTTTATGGATTAATAACTTCTGGTAATTATAGTATCTTACAGCTACATCACATATAAAATTATTGTGTCAGCTTTCACACAACCTGCACATTGTTCTAACATGCCCTTTTTCTTTTCTTGGAGATTCATCTTCATGACATACTAGGGGACAAAAATATTTATTGGGACTGTCTTTGGGTTTAGTAGAATCACTGTATCATTAACAATTTGGGGTCCTTTACTTGAAAACTGAGGTCTAGATGTGTTTTGCAATCAAAATTTTTGAGATTTTAAAAAACTAATAGGGTCTACATAAAATATTTCACTCAAAACTACTAAAAAAAAGTCTGGGACAGCAGCTCATTATCAAATATGCTATTTTTATAGTGATTTATGAACATCCCCACTAAATATGACAACTAAAGATCATAAAGAGCCTCAGATCAAGTCAGGTCAGCTTTTGCCACCAAACTTGTGAAGAAACTGGTTTTCATAGCTTTTTAGACGTGAGAATTGAGGATAAGAAATTGTGTCTCTGTCCTTTTTTTTTTTTAATTTTTATAAGTCTTATATTCTACTGTAACATCTTTTGAATTGGACATTTAACTAATGCAACTTATTTGTCCTCTTTGCAGAATGGGCAGTTCATGTTAAAAACACTGTTCATGGAAAGAGCTGTATGTAACAGTATAATAAAACTGCCTGCCTTGGCAGCATAAAGGTATACCATTTCTTATCATACTGATACATGATAGAGGAGAGCAGATATATGTGGTATGGGGCAGCTCCTGAAGGAGATTTCCAGGAGTAGCATGTTGAAAATTCATTAACTAGAGCCACCAGGAGAGCAAAGAATTGATACAGCAGGTCATTCTATTCTTAGCTTTTCTCATTACTTGAGTTATCTATTCCTCATATATCTCTTTACACGTATCTGCTATACACGTAGGATGCTGGCTGCAGAAATACCAACCTCACCCCTATTAGATAAAGGACTAGTATAGAGAAAAAGCCTGTGAAATAATGTTTTAAACTTTGCCACATACCTGCGATATGAACAGCTGCTGCCTGTTATACACAGTGGGTATACTAGAGCCCAGTCATATGATCTTCCTGATGTTTTATCTAATGTTCCCAGTTCCATCACAATGAGAATGAGCTATACTAGCCACCAGATCCCAGGTGAACTGTGGTGTGCTTTAAAAATGAAAACACAATTATGTGGCTTAATTATTTAATCTCCTTATGGAGTATCTGTATTGGTTGTTTTTTTGTTTGTTTTTGAGACAGTCTCATTCTGTCACCAGGCTGGAGTGCAGTGGTATAATCTCGGGCAATCTCAGCTCACTGCAACCTCCGCCTCCCAGGTTGGAGTGATTCTTCTGCCCCAGGCACCCGAGTAGCTGGGACTACTGGCATGTGCCACCACGCCCAGCTTATTTTTATATTTTTAGTAGAGATGGGGTTTCACCATGTTGGCCACGATGGTCTTGATCTCTTGACCTCATGATCCACCCACCTTGGCCACCCAAAGTGCTGGGATTACAGGGATGAGCCACCGCACCCAGCAAGTATCTGTTTTTATAACTCCAAGTAGTTCTCAATATTTTAAAAATACTTAAGCATTCAATATATATTTGTTGAATTAAGTTATTTGACTCTAATTAACATTATTTCTTTTAAGAGTCACTGGAAGGTGATAATCAGTAACATATCCCTGGAGGAAAATATAAAATGAAAAACCAGTTTGGCTACCAGAATTTCTGCAAACTGGAGTGTTTCTGGCATTTCTCAATCATGCAAAATAATATTAATGGTTCTGAAACTAATGAGTCAGGAAATTATTGAAGAAGTGAAGAAATAGCAGGGCAAGGCTTGAAATTATTTTCCCTGACAAGACCAAACTCCTTATTTATCATAACTACCCTCTTGAAAAAAATTTTTTTTTTGTAGATCTAGTCATGAATCCAGACAAGATTGATTGATTGATTGATTTTTGAGACAGGGTCTTACCCTGTTGCCCAGGCTGGAGTGCAGTGGCACAATCATAGTTCACTGTAGCTTCAACTTCCGTAATTCAACTCATCTTCCTGCCTCAGCCCCCAGATAGCTGGGACTACAGACATACACTACCACACCTAGCTACTTTGTGAAAAAAACTTTTTTGTTGTAGAGATGAGTACAGACTATGTCCTGTGTTGTCCATACCGGACTTGAACTCCTGGGTTCAAGTGATCTTCTCACCTTGGCCTCCCAAAGTGTGGGATTACAGGTGCAAGCCACCCCACCCAGCCAAAAATTTATTTCATAAATATGGCAACTCTTTTTTGAGTTTAGATTTTGTTTTATTTTTTATTAATATTTCATTAAATGATACACTGAATCTATTTCTTTTTAAAACTTACAACATTAGGCCAGATGTGGTAGCTCATGCCTGTAATCCCAGCATTTTGGGAAGTCAAGGTGGGAGAATTGCCAAAGGCCATGAGTTTGAGGCCAGCCTGGGCAACAGAGCAAGACCCTGTCTCTACAAAAAATAAAAAATTAGCCAGACATGCCACTCAGGGGGCTGAGGTGGGAGGATTGTTTGAGCATGGGAGTTGTACACTACAGTGAGTCATAATTGTGCCACTGCACTCCAACCTGGGTGACAGAAACTCTGTCTCAATTTAAAAAGTAATAAAAGTAAATTTTAAAACATTACAACATTAGGCATAAAGCTAAAATATTATTTTGCCCCTACACCCCCTCAGCAACTCTCAGTTCCTCCTATCTTCCCCAAGGTAATTACTGATATAAATATGGGATATGGGCCAGGCACAGTAGCTCATGCCTGTAATCCCAGCACTTTGGGTGGTTGAAGCTGGAGGATTGCATGAGGCCAGTAATTCGAGACCAGCCTGGTCAACAGGGTGAGACCCCTATCTCTAAAAAAAAATTTAAAAATTAGCCAAGTGTGGTGTTATGGGCCTGTAGTCCCAGCTACCCAGGAGGCTGAGGCAAGAGGATTGCTTAAGCAAAGGAGTTCAAGGCAGCAATGAGCTAGGATCATACCACTGTACTTCAGTCTCGGCAGCAGAATGAGATCCTGTCTTTAAAAATAAAAATAAATAAATTTGGAATATTTGTACATAATTTGTTTAAGTATGTTTTAACATACTTTAAAATCAATGAAATTGTTATAATTAGTATTGTCTTTTTGCTGCCTCAAGTCAGGTGCTTACATCCTAGAAAAATCTAGGAAGAAGGCCAGGCACAGTGGCTCATGCCTGTAATCCCACCACTTTGGAAGGCCAAGGCTGGCACATCACTTCACTTGAGGTCAAGAGTTTGAGATCAGCCTGGCCAACATAGTGAAACCCCTCCTCTACTAAAAAAATACAAAAATTCACTGGGTGTGGTGGTACATGCCTGTAGTCCCAGCTACTCAGGTGGCTGTGGCACGAGAATCACTTGAACCCAGGAGGCAGAGGTTGCAGTGAGCTGAGATTGCACCGTTGTACTCCAGCCTGGGAAACAGAGTGAGACTCAGTCTCAGAAAAAAAATAAAAATCTAGGGAGAAAGATATACACCAAAATATTATTGTTATCTGAGATAATTACATATGTATTTAATGCTGTTAAATAAACACATACAAAACTTATTTTAAGTATTTTTCTATAAAGTCTATAATCAAATTTGTTTTTTCTATGAATCA